TGACATTCATTTTTTTTTCTAGTTTTGTCCCCTCTGTTTTTTTTCCCTTTTTTCCCTCTTATTTCACCCTTCTGAGGCATTTTAGCCAAACATTTTTTATCAAAAACATAATTAAATGACAAAAAAGGGTTGTTGATTAATAAAAATGTAATAGCACCCCAACGTTTTCGTGGGACAGTGGTGAAATGCAGAACAAGTTAAACAACAAATTCGGGTGTGGCCAAGGACCTGAGACTGTCATAGTCGATTAGCTAAGGGTCTTTTAAAAGGGGCTGGCGGGAAATCCACTTTGTGGTTGAGAGCCCCTGAAGGACTCTCCCCGGGTGTCTCCTGACTTTATTTAATGCCCAGTTAACCTCTTAGGGGGGTCTCTATGTTTGTTTTAGCAGGGGCTGGGCACCCATCCCTGGTGGGCATTTTGGTCTGGTGTTTTAATCCAACATTTTTCCTTGAAGACTCGTATGGAAAATTTAGTTTAAAAAAAAAGACCTTTTTTCTACAAATAACCCGGGGCCCCCTAGTCTTTTTACTTTTGGAATTAGGTTGGGAATGGAATTAACTTTTTCCACTTTGAAATGTTTTATTTTTAACAACTGAGGGGCAGACGGAAAAAACAGTACTTTTTTCTGAATTATAGAATCGTCAAGTTTAAAACCCCCCCCTTATATTTTTAAAACCTACTATGCTTTTTTAAAAATAAAAAACTTCACTTGAAATTGAACATCTGGGCTGTTTGTTATCTTTTGGTTGCCCCCATCCATTATTTTATCTTGGGGAAAAATAATCAAATTCTTGTTTATTTGCATATTCGAAAAAAAATTTTTGTGTTTTCTCAATTAAAAAGGGTTATAGGACTTTAACAAAAAAATTTTACATGTAAAAAACTGGCTTTCTCCACAGATAACCCCTTGGGTCTAACAACCCAAAAACTGAAAAAAAATTTATAAACATTTTGCAAAAAAGATTAATAAGTTTTTTTTTCTGTCAGGGGCTCTTAGGAGGAAATGTTTTGGTTTACCTGGTTTTTAAAGTCATTAGTAATCTTTTTTACAGAATTTGGCTAACCAATTAAACGAAAGAAAAAAACGATAGATGATCGTTTTTCGAAATAATTGTTATTGTTTTCCTAAATTTTATCGTAACATTGCATTAAACATAACATTTTTTTATTAAAAACAGGGGGAAGGGGATGACATTCAACGAAACAAAACATTTTAATCACCAAACATCATAAAATCCTAGGCCCTATAGTGACCAGAACATAAACCCCCCTTTCCCAAAAAAAAAAAATTTCTTTGAAGAGCTGCTATATTGAGTCATGATTTCACTCATGTCTCAAACGGGGGGATTGTAGGATTGATTGAGCATTGAGCATCATTATACAGCATATGGATTTATATTTTATGCAAAAAACTTTTGTAAAGCATGTCTAATATGTGCTAAACATAATCTTCAAGGCAATTTAAGACCTAAAAAAGGTGCTTTCCCTAAACCTATTTATCCTTTCAATTCTGTTTGGTTATAATAGATTTGTTTTCTAAATGGATTGCAAGAAAGTGATAGTTAGATCAGATGAGTAATAAGTAAAATCACTTTCTTAATTATTCTGTGGAACCTTACCATACTGCTTAGCACTCTAGTAATTCTACTGTGGTACCTGTTATAGAATACGCATTTGGTCTCCTTCACCGACCTTCAGAGGAAGTCCATCGTACAAAGGGGGTTGTATTTTTAGTATACAACCGTCTCAAACTGGTGATGATTGTACACAACTCTGCCGAGAGGTCATAGGAAGTAGACCACTGTGTAAAAGATTACCCATAGGAAACTTTTTGAAGTTTGAACCTAGATGATGTTGCAACTTTTCATATTAGTTTTGTTTTTAGCTCTCACTCAGGGCAAGGATTCTTGTTGGCCCCATGAGCCAGCTATTTGTAAAAGGGACGTCTATCTCTGCTATAACTCTACTAGAGTAATCAGTGTAGTGACTATTCCTTTTCAAACATTCTCGCAAAGATTTAAAATTGACCCGGGAGATTGGCGAGGTTATGATTTCTACCTATATCCCCGTGTAGTTCAAAGAACTCAAAAGAGTTGGGGAGACGTATTTAGAACCACTGGACAGTGGAAAAAGGGATCATATGGATGGACATCTTTAGCTAAGAAATGGATGAGTAGAATATCAGGGTTCACTGTTAACCATGCCTCCAAAGTTTTCACTATGACAATAAACTCCACAGCAGAACCCCTTGAGAAGGAAGGCTGTTCTTCCTCATTTCTATGTGCACGGTCTAGTGAAACCGATCCATGTTGGACATTGTATCTGTGCTCTGCAAATGTTACACAAGAAGAAAATGAGATACAAGGGATTCTTACTTCTGCCCAAGGTGAACAGATAAAAATTCAAAATATTAATGACCCGCTTAAAACGGATGAATTGTTTCAAGTCACCACTGGAATCTCTGGGCAAACAAACAACTGGCTTTTAATGGCAGAACAAGCAGCTAAAACAGTGTCCACTGATTGTCTTGTGTGTATGGGAGCCAGACCGCTGTTACGTGTGGTTCCTGCCACCATAACTCCTCAATGTCTTCTAAATATAATGAATTATACAGTTCCAACTGATAATTGCACCTATTGGGATAAGATCTATCCCCTGACCACAGATGAGAAGAAAAAACCAATCTTTTTGAAGAAAGTGGCTGTGGCAAATTTCACCTGTGTAAACAGGACCGGAGTGGGCCCAAAATTGGGTACACTAAATGAAAAACAATGTGCAAGTATTTTACTGGTATCCACCTTTTTTAAACCTCAATCCCGCAGCGACATCTGGTGGTGGTGTGGAGATGACAGATTGTTTGACAGACTTCCATGCAACACCACTGGATTGTGTGCTGCAGTCACCTTGATTTTACCTGTTTCTATTACTTCACTCACAATGGATGAATTGTTAACGACTGTAAACAGTATTTTACCTCACACATGGCATACTAGAAGAAGGAGGGCATCTGAAAATGCGTGGAGTCCAGATGACCCTACTTATATTGACAGTATTGGAGTACCCAGAGGTGTTCCTGATGAGTATAAACTAGTGAATCAAGTTTCTGCAGGATTTGAATCTTTCTTATGCTGGTGGTGTACTATAAATAAAAATGTAGACAGGATCAACTACATCCATTATAACGTCCAGAGGCTGGGAAATAAAACAGAACAAGGCTTCTCCGCCATCCATGAACAATTGTCAGCTACCTCTCTGATGGCTTTCCAGAACCGTATTGCTGTTGACATGTTGTTAGCTGAAAAAGGTGGTGTGTGCTCTATTTTTGGAGATCAGTGTTGCACCTTTATTCCCAACAACACCGCTGCAGATGGCAGCCTCACAAAGGCCCTTGAAGGCCTTCGCTCTCTTAACAGCAAAATGAAAGACCATTCTGGAGTTGACACAAAAATGTGGGATGGATCTGGAGACATTTTTGGTAAATACAAACAACTGGTACTTTCTATTTTGATGTCTGTAGCTATATTTGCCGCCATCCTGACCTTATGTGGATGTTGTTGTATTCCATGTATTAGAGTGCTGCTAAATAGACTAATTACCACTGCAATACAACCCATTAAAACAGAAATGTATGCCCTTATGTCCACTGAGGAACACCTATCGGATGATGAAGACAGCGAAGAGGATGAATTCTCTTTACACTTTCCTGACTTTTATCCTAATCCCAACGACAATAACCCACCAGTTTAAAGTACCTCTGAGTGTACCCTTTACAGCTAAAAAAAGAAAAAAGAATGATTTCTTAGTTGAAAATCTGAAAAGAAGTAACTATTGAATGATAAAATAAATAGCTTAAAGTGAATAAACAGGAGGGAAATGTTGGGTTAATTAATTGAACATAAGTTATTCTACTTTAATCATATTACTTTAATCATATTATACTTACACATTTTGTTATCTCTATCTTACTCATATTACAAAGAGTGTTAAAACATTTAGTTTTGTTTGCTGTGTCATTAATGTTTTTTAAGTCTGTGCAGGAGGGATGTTGACTGCGACTGCTGTTAACAGATGTCGTTAAGGGTGTGGAGGAGAATGGAGAACTGTGCAACTAGATAAGGAGAGGGGTTCTCCTTATCCTCTGATGTTGTATGATGTTGTACGAAAATTCTGGTTTCAACTGGGTTCTGTTCCCTCCCCCTTTAGCGGTTGAAACCACATTGTAATCAGGGCGTTTTTTCAATAAAGGGCTTGGAGAGCAGATACTGCTTCAGAGTGGGTTTGAAGTTGTAACTGAATGCAGTTTCTGATCCCCTCTCCTTGCAAGTAAAATATACTAAATTCTCTGTGTCATTCTTTGTGCAGGTTGCTGAATAAGGTGTTTGGTGTTTAAACCTAACAGGAGAGTTGCTTACAAACACAGATTTATGAACATTTGAGAGAAATAATGGAGAAAATAATGGATGATCTTTGGGTTAAAGCTCTAGTGGAGGATACTCTATTTTCTATATTCTATAAGTGGTCTTCCTAATTGTCAATCATTCTGGTGATATGTTAACCTAAGGCCATCCTACGTGCTCATGCCCATCTTCACTTACCAGAGGTGAGTCTGTCATAGTGGAAAATTTGCAAATCTTCTTTGGGAAAGTAAGTTTGTATGATCGATTCAAACAGCAACTTTTAAACAGAGCGTTCAGGAGGAGAAGTGGGCTCCTGCACGCTCATACGCCTTTCAGTGGCGTTCCCTCTCGGGGGCGGGTACAGGGTTGTGCATGTGCATTTTTTTTTTTTAAAGTGGAGAAGGTGGGTCTTTTCAAAAATTTATTAAAATCCTCCACTATGAGTTTAATCTCCTGAAAAAGTCAGGACAAATTTAGGAATGAAATGGAGATAAATAATAGTTAACCGCTCTATTTGAAGCTTGGAAAACTACGGTTAATCCTGGAAATAAAAATAAATCTGTATGGGAATAAAACCCCAAACAAAGTGTTGGATGACTCACGTTTGCAGCCCAGAGGGTCGGATGAGCTCAGGCCATAGAAACCTCTCTTGCAGCGGTCACAGCGGGGGCCCTCCACATTAGCCTTGCACTGACAGGAGCCTGTGCTGTCTTCACACTGGGCGCCGTTCACCGTCCCCTCTGCACTGCAGATGCAGCCTGGAGGGCATGGAAGGTTGTGAAGGAAACACTGCTTGGTCTTGCTCTCATTTTTTCAGATTTCTCTACTTACGAATGCATGCATCGGGACGATCCATTCGGCTGCGGGGGTTGGGCTGGTAGCCTGGGGCACACCGCTCACACTTTGGCCCTGTGGTGT